CCCGTTCTTGTTTTCACAACTATAAGTTCGATTTGGTTTTCTGAAATGAAGGATTCTATTGTATGTGAGCTCAGTAAGCCAGAAGAACCTGTTCTTAAAATTCTGAATTCCACCATTGTATGAATAGCATCCGCTGCATAGACTTTTTCATTAGTCGACTAAATAAAAAGTGTATTCATTTATTTACTATTAAGTATTTATGTAATTGTTTATTGGCATTTTGTTGCAAATGCATTGCACATTTCAAAACACTATGTAATAATATAAAATATTATATTCAATTGAACTAGCGTGAAATGATAACCAATGAAAATTTGCAGTGAAAAACTTTCAAATTAATCATTATCCCAGCACCTGGAACGCATGTTTATTTCGTCCAATGCTGATTTTTGCGTTGCCGAGTACAATCACAGGGTGATTTCAAGTAAATATATCATGAAAATAAACAGGCGAAGATTTTCAGTCAACAATGCAGGAAATGCATGTTTTAGCGATAACTTTAAAAGTAGCCTAAACCTTGCCGTGTCATTTATTTTAACGGAAACTATAGTCCCCAAATTACGTAATTTTATTTATAATTTTACCTTTGCTATAATAATCAATTTAAGCATACCCTCGTATTGTTTTATTAAGGTAAATAATTCCCATAACATCTGGCAAATTGTAATTAGTGGGTTCGTAACCTTTAACGCTTTTAAAGTAAATAAGGTTAATTGTGTTGAATGATTAAATGTTGTTTAAGGTTTGTAGAGTTAATCCGATGTCTGATCTTAGTGTCGCCTGCCGGGGATCTTTCATTCAGAGTGCAGTCGGGAGGGGATGTCACTTTCAGGTCCAATTTCGGGATCGCGCTTCATTTTAAAAATGAAAAACCATCTTTTTGCCACAAAATGACAAAGTTTTGCCAAAATGCCAAAACGATTAGCAACGTTTCTCAAACTCCAATCTCACGCTTGTCAGGACTTGTTGGAGACTTTGAATAAATAAATCAGGATTTAAACTCCTGATGAAATTTTCTCGAGCAAAAAGCAACAAATTTTGCAAAAACACAGTATCATCAAACGACGCAATACTAGCATTTCGATTTGGCAGCTGTTCACGTAAACGTAAAATATAACCTTCTACGTTTTACGAGTGATAAAAACCCATAAATTTCTTACATACTTCTACGATGAATGAAAAGAATAAAAATTATTTGGCAGTCACTCTGTATTTATTTTTTATTTCATATTACGTAAAGACGACTATTCAGTATAATTCAAAATTCGTGAAATATTTGCTTTGATTAGTTTTTCCATTTTTGGATATGCTTCCGAAGAAAAGGGGCTATTTCAGAAAACAAGATTCTTATAATTTCTCGTGGGAATTTTGTTCGCATACTTTTAGCGTCTCGTGGATAAATAGAGTTTATTGGAATTCCCTACTTTATTCCCCCTTTTCTAATTTACTAAAATGCTTGAAACTTGAAATTAATGGCAATTGTTCTCTACCGAGCAAGCAAGTAATTAACATTGAACAACTAAAAATCGATATTGTTAACTGACAACTGTTGTTCACACAGTTGTTCATATATCGAAAGCCACTGTTCTCATTAAGTGCTTAATTTAAAAGATTAATTTTGTTAAATCAATACAAAAGAAATTATCAAACCACTATACCAAAAGTTCAGTCGATTTGGATTAAATTAAGCTTAAATTACAACGCAGCCACCGGCAATAATACACTTTCATGATTCTGGTTTCAACATTGCAATGTGCGGTGCATCAAAGTAAAATAAAATACTATATGTAAAGAATCGTATTTAATGAGATAGATTCGGGTTTTATGCAACGTCTTGCTGGCTAGCTTCTAGTCGTGATCGAAGCAGACATTGCCACGCTAAACTGACTTTAGATTAGATTTCCTTTCTTTACTTATTGCTCGGCGCCCAGTAAATACTATTTTTTCAATAATTAGGGAAAGCTTATTTCGTAGCAAATCGACAATATTGTTTGGAATCATTAGTCAGATGATTAAGACATATCAAATATTAAATTAAATTAAAAGTGACGCACTCAGATGCTGAAATGTGATTAATCTATTGCGTATAACAAATGCAGTACATTTATTTACCAACACATGTAATTGCAATATTTTTTCTAACAAAATTTGTGAATTCCATAAGATTTTGATAACCGCCGTCAGCTGTTGAGCTCCATTCTAAAAGCGATCACCAACGGCGCCCAGGTTGAGGAAATAGCTCGGCAAACTCATATTATAATCCCAATGCTAGGTCGAGTTTACAATGAGGTGACAGTGTATGTTACTACGTCGATTCTTCAATGCCGTCCATATCAATGCGTGCGTATAGCCGACGACAAAAATAACGCGCACAAAAACAAGATGGCAGCTGGAGAAATCGAGGCGCCAAAGACGTTTAACGTTTAATTAAAGCAAAGGTTGTAAAGGCAAGCAAACAAAGAATTAAACTTAATATTATACATGAAAGTAAGTGTTGTATTATTTTCACAAGGTAGTTAATATGTAAAGATATATTGTGTAAGATCAGCGAATCAAAACGAGGTATCCAGCTGATCATTTGCTTTTATTGTCAAAACGTTTGCCAGTAGATATAGAATATAGAAAAACGAATACACATATACAGGTACAGAGAGAATGATCAGAGTTTTTTAAATGATTTATTCTTATGTTGTACTCCAGTTACCTTGTAACCTTTATAATTAGTAATATATAATCAGTCAAATCGAAATAAAACCAGGGTCATTTAACTTTTTCATATTTAGACAAAATGACAAATGTTTATTTGATATGATAAAAATAATCAGCAAAGACAATAACATACAACCTTCGGTTAGCGAAAAGGCCTAGATTTACGTGGAAATGATAGAATGACAAGATGGATGGACACACAACACACATCATAAAAAGATTCTGGTCATGGATGGTTTGCCACTCAAATAAGATGAGGCGAATATTACGTAAATAAGGAAAATAAATAAGTTTTTACTGGCGCCTTGCCCAATATCACATTTAGTTTAACTTGACCACCCATCACTAAAAAAATAAACTCAAAATTAAAATACAAAGCGTGTCCAGTAAAAGCTGTGCTCGATATACCTTTAAGATAATGATAAAATTGTTTGAAACATTAATAACAGACTTTTATGCACTTTTTTGACATGTAACGCGATTACTTATAAGGGATCCGCCTGCCAATTAGAATATTTTATCTCTAGATTTTATCAGGATATGTAGCCATTACCTCATTGAAAATATTGTTAGTTGTCTATTGTGTTCTGTACCACGAGGGAGTTGCTTCAATATTGATTTGATTACTCGTGCATGTTTCTCAAAAATTATGTCATTGAAACGAGACTAGCAAAATAGAAATACACGAGAAAAATCAGGTAAATAAAAATATATTTTCATATTTTCCGTCTTTGAGTTTATTATTTCGGGTAAAAATTTTTAAATGGAAACGAAAAAAATCTAAAAAGAGACAGTTTGTATGAAGTCATTTAAAAAATCGATAAAGTTTGGAACTTGTGTTTGTAAAACCCAACTGTCCAGCTGCAACATCACAGCGGCAACATGACAATGATAAAAGAAATGCGATCGCCTAAAAGAAAAAATCTTTATTGTGAATTTATTTCGAATATCTCAGAAAAAATTGCATAATGGATTATAACAAGATTTTCTATCTAAAATCAATAAATTAAAAGCGTTTTTCGTTATGATTGAAATTCAAAATAAAATTTAATCGTGTCTGTAAAATTTGTCTGTTTCAAAAGTACTTAAATATCTAATTTGAGCATTTTAACATGCGTGAAGATGAATATCGGACTGGATTCAAGTGAATCGTTAATGGAATGATAATATTTAAAATAATTATAAACCATTGTGAGATTTAAGTTCGCGTCACCGACTAGATAAAATCTTAAAAAACTTGTTACGAAATTTAGGCAACAGATCAAACTCGATTTCATTTAAAAATGTTCATCATATTTTTGGTTTTAGCAGAAAATCAATTAGTTTTTTTCATCAACTGTGAACATGTACGGGTTTGGAATTTAAAAAAACCTGGCTGCGACCTATGAACATTCTTAAACTCAGGGAAAGGCTAAATTAGACAGGCGGGTTTTTTACACTAAATGTCGCAAATTTTAATTTGAATGCACGATGAACTTTGGAATTAAATATTGCAGCGGAGTTTTAGCATTTATATACAAACATGTAGCATTGAATGTTGGTTGACCTTAGGACTTCCTAGATTTTGCCTACGTCACGCACTTTCAAATAATTTCAAATTTAGTAATGTAAATCCTCAAACCAATATTTTACTACGGCATGCACCACAAATCACTGAATGTATAAATGGGATAAACACTGTTAAAAGATTCATCAAAGTTACAAAATGTTAAAAGTAATTAAATTTCAAGCAATCATGGGAAGTTGTGATACGATTTTCCCAAAACAACATACGCCTAACTACGATCGGGGGATACAAAGATGAATAGACAAAAATAACCTATACTCGCATCAAAAACGACAGCGAAGACATTATCACTTTAACAGTGAGTAATATTAATTTATATTTGGACTTGACGAAACGTAATTGAAACAACAGCTCATGTGTTGAAGAATTAGAAAATGATGTGACGAATTAAAAACCATAGTATAGTTCAAATTCAGTTCATTGTATCCCACGAGACTGTGAGACAGAACGATTCATTCAATTAAATATGGAATACAAATCCTTTGACACCAAATTAAACTTGTCGTAAATTCGGGAATCAGCAATAACAAATTAACAGTGAGTGAAAATCAATCGCCTTATTTTTCCGCGTAGGATAAATTTGGAATTTTGTTATTCATTTTCATTTATCCCTAAACTTTTTTTTCAATGGAGCAATTTTTTAAAAGTCTGCCAAAACAAGGTGGGATGTAATTATATTATAGTAAAGTAAATCAAGCAAAACTAACACGCTTGAACATATATGATAATATATTGGCTATATGGCAAACTCCGCATAACGAGGTGTCGACTGACCAGTGCTGTGGAACACTTCAAGCCCACAAAGGCAAGAAAACGGTGATACCACATGGCACTGCGAGACGTAAGTAATACGTATGACGTGAATATAAAAATTAAATATTGTTTGTAAATGGGGATAGGATCCTAATAAGTTTTTATGTCAGCGTACACTTATGTGTTAGAAGTGACTGTGTTTTTGGAAAAACTGGAATACATAGTTTCGGTGCACAGCTTGCTTACCTTATAATATCATGCTTAAATAGTACGGTTTGCACCCGAGATGTCTTACCTATAACACCAATATGACTAGTTTTAAACAGCCAACTACTACAATTAAAGATTTTAGAAATGCATATTTGAATTTATGAATCGATTTTGACATAAACTTTTTCCCGTTCAAAGGAGGGAAAGAGGGCGCTTCAGAAGTACGTGTACCAATATGAAGGTAACTAACTCTGTTCGCCTACTTTACATCAAGTTGTTGAAATGTATGAGCAGGGGGTATCTTCACTAGGCTAACACAGACAGTCCCCGAATTCGTAATAGAACAAAAATAAGGAAAATCGGAATAAAAGTACGGCCTAACCCTAACCTGGTATACACACGACGGGAACGGAGCGGAGAGCAAGAAAAATGGTATTTTTGAGCAATGGCATCATTAAAAAAACAGCAAAACAAATTACTGTTTGTTTACGACTTTTACATAAAAATAACTGTCGAAAACTGGTTCGAAAATCGGGGCATCAATCGCATATAAATGAAACAAATTGATGTTGTTTTTGACCTCACCATATTATTTCCGCGTGTATAAATAATACGCTGATTTTCGGTTAGTTCTAACATTATTGTCGTCAATATATCCACGTTGTGGCGATTACTCTATCGTTAAAATGAAATACAATACGTGTGTAAACCATTGTTACAAATACTATTACGAAGCCGATGTAAAATGAGTAGAATTTCGAAAACCTTACAATAATTGTTCAAATATGTTCGTAATAAATTAGGTTTGAACATTCATGAACCATCAATGCGCCATGTGTATTATATTAGGGCCATGCTAGCCTAATTAGTTTTGTGACAACATGAATTTTGAGTTCTATTTTGAAAACACTTGTTCAATGAGGAATGTTCTTGATCATTTTCTGATTTTGTCATTGTTGGAGTTCAAAGTAATTCAAGAATCACAGCACGAAAATGGCAATTTAGGGAAATAATCTGTGATCGTACCACAATGAACTATTATTTCCATTATAACAGTTTAATATATTTCTGTGTGAGGGTACATATTCAGTACGGTCAGATAATCTAACTACATATCAGAGGGCGTTCACCCTTACAAGTGTTGTTTTGTAAGACAAAGTGATTAAGTAAGGTAGTTAAGCTCAGATTTAGCGTGTAAAAATTAGATGTTGTATGTTGTATTGTAACAATATATTTCTCAATAAATCCGATACAGATATTTCAATTATAAAATCGAAGTAAAATTCATGTTACCACTTTCGTAAACGATTGTAAATACAGTCAGAAAGCCATTGATTTTGTACTCTGCCTAATACGCAGCCAATATACCTAAAAAGGTACGGTTAATATTACATTGCATTTATGAACTTGCTATATAATCAAAAACTTGCGGTGCACTTTAAGCCCTCAGTAAGTGTTTGACGTTAATCAGGATTGAGTTTCTCACAAGCTCATGATATTTTGGGAACTGAAGCAGGCTGCTGTATTTCTGAAAAATGCACTAAAGAACGAAACATGGGAATATTTTTATTGCAAAATTTGTTACTCAAAATAACTCTTTCAAAAAATTTAAGTTGCAAAAACAACATAACTCAAGTAGAATATATCAATTTTGCTGTTGTACAAAGAAAACATAGTGGGTTGCTTTAATCCATATGGCGTCGATATTCTAAGATTAAAAATTGTATAAGATTCATGAATTATAGAAAATTACTTGGTTATTCCAGTGAATTCAAACGTACTTTTTTTCGTGTATATGCCACACATGGTCATTGGTTGCATAGATCCAACTAATTTGTTGCATTTTTTCTTCACTAAAAATTTGAGACAATTTTCTCGTGCAAAAATTGGATATTATATATTACATTTAATTTCGCTGAAATATCATTTTACTTGCGTTATGCAACTACGCATATTTAGATGAAATTCTAGACTAATCCGGAGTAACTGTATGCATGCTAGACTGTTCACGTCACTAACAGGCCAGGCTTAAAAAGGGTTCGTTAAATGCAGAGAAAATACTGAACGTCTTAGTGATGTAAGGTAGTGTGTGTAGTAAAAATTTGATTGCCTGCTTGGTCTTGATATGCTATGCATATTTAAGTTTCCGTGATCTCACAATTTTAGAGGTTTGTGTTAGAGCTTATCTATACCAAAAGCATAGTGCTTCATAGTTGATTTTTATGGCTGTATTTTGGTTGTCAAAAAAATAAATCTCTCTCTCTCTCTTCAAGACAGAACACAAAAAATTCTTGTGTCACAAATTTTCTAGAACAGATCTTACACTTTTATAATATGACAATTACTCTTTATTTGATCAAATTTTTCTGTTTTCAGTTCTGATTCAGGGCTTCCATTTGCTCATATACCGCTTTCGAGTTAACATTTTCGAGTACATCAGGTAGAGGAGAATGAGCGGGCTTGCAACTCTTCTCTGAATACAATAATTAAAAAATTGATAATAACTTTTAAAACTTTGAATTATGTACTTCCTGATCAGGGCTATGTTTTTTAATCTAAATATTCGATATATATTATATTAAAAAATGTTTTGCATACCTATTTACCATTATGTGCGATTAGACACGTTGGAAATCGATGACGAGAGTTATGTGCTTCGTACTAAACAATTATAAATAGGATTTTTTATAAACTGGGTGGTTTTATTGTCAGTGAGAATGTATGCTATATTTTGTTAAAGATGTTTCCTAATAATTTGGATGGGTAGATTAGATTAAAACCGGGTATTGTAAGACCATTTTTATCCCTCTACTCAGAAGACATGTAATTATATTAGAAAATAATAGTGGTAGCTATACTGAGCAATACCGTAGAAAAGCTACAGTCAAATATGCGGATAAAATAATACCTTATAAAATATAAATAATTTTTCGTTTTTTTTCACACATTCTGAAAAAAATATCAAGTTAGGGATAATTTTCGAATTATTATTCACCTTTAGAATTCTGAAACGAATTCTGTATTTTATTTTAGATGGTCAAAATATCTGTCACATTTGTCCATTGTAGGGCAAGTGTCATTTTATATGAATTCGTCATACTCATTGTTTCAATTGATCACTGTTTCTATGCTATTTTTAGTAAATCGTTTTTGTTAAAAATGCGCCAAAGATAAACCTTGCCTCTATGCCGTACTTCATCAATTGCAAATGCCTGATCAAATATAATAGAATGGATATTTCTCGATTAATATTAACATTAGTGCTAAGTGTCCTCAAATCACAATATTAATGCACTCGAGAGTACGCACTCATGAATGGTGATACGGCACAAAATATGAAATTTGTAACATCTAAGTCCTTGAATGTAATTGTCGATAAATATTTCTTTGCCTGTCAAAGTCAACGTGGCACATTCTAAATCTAGTGCCAATTGTTATCTGCTGACAAGCCCATGTAACTATTATATTACCAATGGTCACTTTGCACTCAATGCTTTTCATTGAGATATGCCGAATTTTATTTGTTTATTTAAAATAGAAATCATACTTGGCATTTAATATTAATCAAAATATTCAATTATCCGTCAATGAAATCGGTGATAGTCTGTCTCATGCTTTAGTTTATTTATACAGTCACATGATACCTTCCTTACGTTTATATGTATTTCGGTATTCATGATATGAATGAAATTATATGCACCTTGTATTTTAGCATTTTCGATCAATCTTCCAAGTTTCTAAGATGTGAAAGAGTATAATTCCGGAAGGTTGCAATCATGCAATTTTCGCTTAACCGTCTTGTATTACTGCTCGAATATTTTTAAGATAATAATGTTTTAATAGAACTATGTATGCAAATATACTATATTTAGATCGCATAATATCACGGCGATTTGGTTAGTGATGAAACATAGCTATTTTACAATTTATGGTATTGTTTGAACTTGAATCCCAATTGGTGATTCAAATGTCAAAAGTGATTGCGACTCAAGTATAGCTATTGATAATATTGAAATTTTTTCATGCAAAAATTTTCCTGCAAATTTTTGCCATACTCCGATTATATCATGTACTTGGTTAAATATGTGGTCGTATATTCAAATTCAGCGTACGAAGATCGTAAAGATAATTCTACTCGTCTTAGGCTTGTGGTTTTTTGTCAATTATCTTAATGCTATGTATTTGAAAACAAATATTTTGATAGAAAATTTTTATACCTGTTTATTTATAGATATTCCGATACGCGAATAATTGAAGAAATATACAAACGCTTTGAGTGGTGTCGGTTACAACATACGCGACGCGGAGACATTTTGGATTCGCCATTTTCTGACGCAATATCTAACAGTTTAGCAGCGAAAGTCCATATCCCCTCGGATGTAACCTAGCTAAAATCAAAGTTCGAACGATTGTTTGCGTCTCTATCAAACGATTTCTTCGACAGATATTTTTAATTACGAGTTAACGAAGTTGTTTTCCAATTTGCAAGTCAATATTAGACGGAAACAGTGCGACAGGTTCAAAAAAGGGCAAGATTTAATTTGGACCCACAGGACAGAAAATCTATACTTTCTGATTAACGAATGATTTAGGGCTAAGGACTGACCTTTGCGACCAATTAACATTGCAAAGAATACTAATGAGATCAAAAAAGTGTTTGAAAAAGACACAAAGTTGGAAAAAAAATGAAACATTTCATGCGCTCCACATAGTAGAGTCATGATGGCAAGACTAATAATCATACATGGAATACGTATATTTTGATTATTTAAACGTGGGCCATTTGTGGCTCATGATGTGTTGTATCCCGAGTAGTGGTGTTATTTCTACCGAATGGTGTTTGCGCTTTACACGGAATGATCAGTATACCTGCTGATCATTTATTATAGTACCTACAAGACGGGGAAAATAAGGAGAGAAAATACGATAAAAGAAGATCCCCAAGGTATCGTTATTTCGACTAGAATTATACTCCAGTCAATAAAGGGATAAAACTGGACGGCGACGAAGCAAGTTGAGCGTTTCAAATTTGATTGAATCTGAAGTTGAAGCGGATAAAAATTGTTTATTTAGATTGAAGTGCTAGTTGCATAGTTTGGAAGAAAATTTGAAATAAATGACTTATGTAAAAAAAGTTCTGGGATAGTATCAGACGTTCACAAATAAGAGTGACTGTTCTTGCCTGTAGTTGCCGACTTCCAGTTGAGCTAGAATATATTTGTAATATCTTTGATAGTTAACAAAAGTAATTGATAGATACAGCACTGATGAGAATGATATAACATAGATCTAGGCAATGAGAGTGAGATTTCCCGTTGAACAAGATTTAGCATTGTAAATGGAACTGCACACAGATTAGTTGATTAGCATTTAAAGCATATAATAAAGCAGACGAGATGTACACAACGTTTTTAACCTTGTTCGAATATTACTATACAAAAATTTAAACATATCTTTCATATATTATTTTACCAATTTTGGTGTATACGTGTATAGTATATAAATATGAATTACGATACAATTCCAGTTTAATAATATAATTATTAACCACATATCAAGGGGACAATTACAATAAATGAGCATTGATGTACATACATAAATTGATCGATGAAATATGTATCTATCAATCACTAACATCTACTAAACCTATAGGTTATTAGATTCGAGATTATGTATCCATGGACTACAGATTAAATACTCTACCCGGCATTATACGGATGCGGCTGTAGTTGAAAGAAAGGTTATATTGTCATAGCACAAATGTGTCCCCCAATTGATATTCCTATCATCAGAATGTTAGTTATCAAGTAAACTAATACGATTTTTTTGCTATTCTATGATTCTATAATTGATTTGATACTCAAGGTTGTTAAGTAAGGGTCTTACCTCAAAATCATCATCGAACCGAAATGTAGATTTTTGAAAAATTTAGCATGAATTCATCTTTCGTGCCTACTATGTGTATATACATATATATATGCCTTAATTAACATTCATCCTGAATATCATAGTTTAATATTGCTTTATTACAATTGTTTACAGCATAATATGACTTGATAATACATTACATTGTAATTATATCTTCCGCGCGGTATTTGGATGTTTGAAACGATGCGAAGAACAATGTCGATAATATTCAAACTTGTGTTTATTGGTAAGTTTTATAAAAAAATTTCATTTTATTTCAAGTTGAAGTTAAAACCTTGAAACATCTTTTTATTTCCACATAAACACATTATATATATAATTTTTGAGCCCCAAAGGGTTACCCCAAAGGACACAAATAAATGATGAAGGTTGATACAAACATAATAAGAAACAGGAATTTGATAACGTTTAACATGTTTGAGTAGAAGACTGTTGTATAACTGCGTTGAATGCCAGGATTCCAGATCCCTTGAAGTTAAATGAAATCATTTCCGTTCAAAATTCTGTGATTATAAATTCTATTTGAACATTGGTATGTTGGGGTTTATGTATTAGTTCCTGTCATAATATTTTTCCATTAGGAGATATTACATTTATTTAGATATGCTCACGAATGTAGCGTCGAAAATGTGAATGTAACATAAACACGTAGGATTGAAAGGATTATAGTGTATTTGCAACATTGTGTAAACGTATATTATCAACTTAGGCTCAAATAGGAAAACGTCTTAGAAGGATAATCCGTACCCAAATCGGATTTGAAAAAATTTTCATTGCAATCTTTGCAATGAACACAGATTAATAATTTACCCATAGGACGTCTTTCTCCACCTCATTCCCACCTAAATATAAGAAAACCTGCAAAACTGTTTGTTATTTATGAAGGATTGTTAGGCCACCAAACAAGGGGTGCAACAACTTGTGGTGTTGTTGAATGTGAATTCTGGGAATATCAATGTAATTCTGGTGAATGTATTAATCTTCGGTTCTTTTGTGACGGAATATACGATTGCCCGGATAAAAGTGACGAAATATTGGAAGAAGGTTTGTTGAAAATACAATATTATTTTTATCATGTAAATTCCGTTTTTAATGATCTCTGCATGTATCTTATATAATCAAACCTATATATAAGTACTGCCAAAGTAACATTCTCGCATTTTAATTTTTTATTCACTTTTTTCAAGTAAGGGTTTTATAAAAAAAATGAAATTGACGTTTCGAAATGTACATTATTGAAACTCATTTGTGGACGTGGTTTACATCTAATGCATTTCCATTCGATAACCAATCCTACAAGCTCAATTTGGCGAGAATACATCCCCGCTGGGGTTCGTAAATACCGATGAGTAACGGCTATTTATAAAATTTCCTTCAGACAAAAGTGTTAGGTGAAATCGATCCTATCTCTTACAGCATTATGATATTTATTTTAAGCTGGAACAGGCTGTCAAAATCCACTCAACGATTTGAACCTACAATGCAAGTTACCAGAACAATACTTCTGTGACAGCTTCCATCATTGTTATAATAAAACAGATGAAAACGAGACTTTGTGTAAGAATAAAAAGTACGTTTCTCATTCCTTGTTCTATCTCATAACTGCGGTCTCTCTATTTTTTTCTATTCTATCTATCAAGACCAGGATTTCACAAACTGGGCGCTTGGCCCCACTAGAGGGGCACGAGGCGAATCTCCGAGACCTTCACAAGGTTTGATTCCCTGATTCAGTGATGTCGTTTTTTTTTTATTATTAAAAGGAGAAATAAAAAGCACCTCGAAAATAAAAATATGGCACTCAAATGTTGTGAAAAAAAACAAACAAACACTTCACACTATTCAATGAACATATATATATGCGCACTGCACTATTCTATTGCAGTAAAATGGCACACACTTTATGTCGTTTATTCTAGTACTTTCGTTAGCTGTCTTTTCATTATTATACGTGACGATTAAAATACTTGATTGACACCCGTTTAAAATAAAAAAAAATTTAGTTTAGTTTTTATTTGGGGCACGATGTATTGAGAGTCTTTGAAACAGGTCATGAAAGTTTATGAGAATAATTGATCTAATCACACTATGATGTTTTTTTTTCAGATATGGAATGCGGTGCGATAAGTATGGTCATTGTTTGAATAAATTGTTGATTAACTGTGGTAACCAACTAGGTTACCAATGTTCGGATGAAATACCATGTAAAGGTGCGTTCTACATTATTTATTTCGTTGGCTTTTCTCTACTTCGCTGGAGCCAAAGTCGCTGTTACTTCTCTGAAAATACATTTTTTACGTTATGATATAAATTACTGATGCATAACAAGAAATTCTACGAATATTTTCCACGGTGTAACGAGAACAATAGCACGAAAATATGTTTACGGTATTAGTATCTAAAACATGAATTTTTTATGGACGGGGTATTTTTACCTAATTTCATGAATTATGAAAACATATTTGTATAATATACTAATTAAATAGATTCAATCCAAGTAGTCGAACACGTAAGGTTCTAGCTTGGAAAGCATTCCCTTAAGGGCCGAATGTGGTTGTGATTGTTTACTGTTTTATCATGACCTTGTAACTTGACAGCAGATTGACATCCATGGAAATTGTTCGATATACGCGCTTATAAAAACGTAATTTTAAATAATTCAGGAAAAATAAAGACGAACTAGTAGCCATAATAAATGCGAGTATACCGTCTCAGATTTTTATTCAAGCTTGTGGTTGTAGTTAATTCAGGCTCAAGTTCTTACCCTACTTGGAATGATATGAAAAATAATCAGATGTTTTAAAATACGGCGGTCTTTGATCTTTCTAACTGAAAAATGATATAGCAATCCTTATTTTTATTTCAATAATTTGTTCCAAGGAAATGATTATTACATTATACTTGTTCAAATATGAAAGAAACATAAATTGCTTCCTTGATCCACAAGCCAATGTTGAACTGCACATTTAAATTTAACAACCGAGTCGAGTAAAATAATATTACAAATACTTTATGTTTAGGTGATGTATGTTCGCGTAGGGGAGGGTCATCTCGTGTTTTGGATTTGACAAACGAATGTGAATCTATATCAACGTTCAGGTAATAAAATATTGCTAGGTAAATCGGCTGCAGCTCTGCATCAATGTGTATTTTTTTCTCGGAGATTCTGAGACGACCGCAGTGCCATAGATAAATTTTGATTACCCAAATCTCAGTCTTGTATTCAAATTCCAAAAATTGATTCATTTTATTTCCAAGTAAGAAATGTTGCGTTCATCAACAATAATATCGTCTGGAGCCGCGCTAGTCCAAGAAGTGAATTTGCATAATTAAATTGGTTCGGCAGACGTACACACCGGGGTAATTTCATTAAAATTGTAATTTCGTAGCCTACAACGGAACAAACAAAGAGCATGTATCGGGAAGAACAAAAATAGTTATATTCAATACCAGTAAAATCATGTTTGATCTTTCATGCTAGAACATAAAGCTAGAATTTTGAAGTCGTCTATTACTATTGATAAATACTTCATTCTTTGACACAGCTGCAACTCCGGGGAATGTTTGGAACCGGATAAATTTTGTGATGGAATAATAGATTGCAAGGATGGGAGTGATGAAGTTGTAGCAAATTCAACAAATGTTGGAGAAGGTACGCATGAAAACTTTAATACCAATTTACCTCCGTGTAACAGCCCCTTTTATTCTTGGAATGAATATTTTAGTCTTTTTGTACGTCTTAGCCATACCGTGCTGCTTGCATTTGATATATCATTCCGATTAATTCCACCCCTCTCTGTTCCATAAGCAATGTGTGAAAAACACCCACAAGCTATGATATTGACAACAAAGCGAGCAATGCTCAAATATATGGACACGAAATCCAAAAATTAAGTAGTATCAAATCTTTTTATACAGTACCGGTAATCTTGCTTATCAAAAAGCTTTCAACTTCGCTGACCCAAATCTATTTTTAGGTACAGGATTATCCTGCAGCAATAAATGGAACAATGTTGCAAAGCACTGTATTCTGCCATCCAGATATGTTTGTGATATTATTGACCATTGTGATGATAGAGTTGATGAATGCCAACCGGGATGTAAACATTCATTTATATGTGACAACGGGAAATGTCTAAGAGGGAAAAAAGTGAGGGAACTAGATGTAGTTTACGTTTCAGCACATGTAGGCTGAATCGTTAAAATATAGGATCAAACTACAAAGAACAATTAGAAGTGACCAGTGAACAACTTTTCGAGTTATTCGTGGGCTATTTTTCAAATAAAAATGTTTATCTTGCTTTACTCTGATATAAATTTCGATACGACTACTATCTGGAATCATAATCATATACATAGTCAAACTAATACTTTGATTATCTACATCGTTGTTCAGCTGAAACAGTTGTTAATATTTGCCTGTATCTGCGTCACTGTATAATTTTTATAATGCCAAGCGGCTAGATTGTCATATCCGCTTTCAAGGAGTCTTATTTGAATATGTTTTTTCCTACGTTATCGAATTTCAATCAATAAATATTGTTTTTGAACGATATTGAACAACTTCAATCTGCTAGAAAGTTTGTTATGTGTATTTCTCCAGACTGTGCCCAGTATTTGTGACGGGAAAGATGATTGTGGAGATTCCAGTGATGAATGCAATTCAATTTGCCAAGGCAAAAATAATGTTTTTCATTGTAATGATGAAAAGAAAACCTGTATTGCAATTGAATTGTAAGTTTTACTTTATATTACAATATTACCTTCTAAGCCCTTACAGGTCGAGATTGATAAAATACCGACCGAGATTTAGCCAATGAACTAATTGAGTAACAGGATTTTCAGGCATTCTAACATAAGAGGGTGATTGGTGGTAGATGGCCTTCTTGTGACGTCATAATTCCTCGATAGAATGTTGTCCCGATCGTTTTTATTTCTGGTGTTGCAACGATTTTTACTAATACTCTTATATCAGACTTCAGGATTGCAAAGTTAATTATTCCTAATTCATCGAAAAAATATAGTCATACCGATATATTTCCAAAATCGCTAAATCCAGGTGAAAACATTAATGGTACCACTAATTCAATTTTTTAATTTTATTGTAATTTTAAACAGACTTTTTCAATTGAATTGGTTTGTCCCGGCCACAAATCGATTCCTAACTTTTTGAATTCGATTTTTCGATTTTGTCTTTCTTTCTGTGGCATCTCCAAATCTGGATTAAAGGGCCTTTGTTCATTTTGTGGTCAATCTAAATCGCATCAACCGATCAATACTTACCGTTTCTGTCATAAGAATAGCGCTTAATGGATTAATAAAGATTGATTGGTTGGTTATGCCATGCTTGATCTACAAAGAATTGAAATGTGAAGGGTAGATTCCCAAACAGAAATGAACTCAGAAACATTTTAATAAATAAATGGTTTACTATATAACGGAAATTACATTTTAAGTAGTTTATGATATTGCTTCGAGCAATGGCGAGTAGTCTTGGAAACTGGATGGCATCAATTCAGTTGACCTTTATTTCAAGGTTGCATATTCCAACAACGTTCGCATTTGTGAATATATATTCAGTTCTTATAATATTGCTGAAGCTTTTTAAAATAACGTGAACTGGATAGGATGAGTTTTTATAAAAATAAGACGCGATGAAATATTATTTTTTTATCCTTTCATTTCCATAACTGATGACGCCTGTGGCACAGAAGTTCAATATCACGCATTTTTTTAGTTCTACCTCTGTCATATTTTAGTATGATTTTGCAATTTAGGTTTTGTAATGGGCGTGTAGATTGTCCAGACGGAAGTGACGAAATTATTTCGACTGAAAATGTCACTGATGGAACAAGCTGCACCAGCAGGTAAATTTCCTTTATTCGAAACAATGAGAACAGAAATTTTTTGTTAGTAATGATTTGACTGCCACATTTTTGTCCCGAAAGGGTTTAAGACTGTGCCATCCCTGTGCATTTACATAAGTTTGAAATAACGATTTTACGCACTCTCGAACGTCGAAGTAAATAACCCCAACCCCATCAAGAGCAGAGTGGGGGATACCTATATTTGGAAATCCGTCCGACAGGAGAAGACTGTCGTACTTCAAATATATTAACTAATAATTCTATGGAAAAGACATTATATTTATTTAATAGACACAACCCATCTGGACTTCGATGCGTTTTACCAGAACATCACGTGTGTGATGACGTCAGACATTGCAAAGATGTTGAAGACGAAAGATATTGTAAAAGTTCTGTAACTGATGACTCCCATTATACATGTAAAAACAATAACACCATATATGCTGCTACTAAGGTACGCTGCTATCTGAATGTATATATTAAAACATATAATTTACTACAAAATCATAATGTGGATTGATCCTTTTTCATTACAATTTCTTGCTCTCTATATGAGTGCAGACATATAGGTTGAAAAAGGAATGAATGACTTTTTATATATCGTAGTAACGTTGATCATTTTTTAAGGTCTGTAACTTCAAGGATGATTGCTGCGATTCATCTGACGAATGCGGAATACCAGGTTGTAACAAAACCTTTACTTGTCCAAACAACGGAAAATGCATTGCTTTCGATAAATTTTGTGACGGTGAGTAATGTATATGGAGTTTAAAATTGATATAACTTCACAAGTGGTAAAAAATGGTGCTTGACAAATGAATCACTTTATTTACAACACTGTATAGGTTGCTGTGTGTTTGTTAGTTTTACTCTTTATTATATTGCCTCACTCTTGAGTGAAAAAAACTTGCTAAAACGCTTAAAAACAGTGAAAAACCGTCTAAAAACACTAGAAACCTTGCTAAAACGCTTAAAAACAGTGAAAAACCGTCTAAAAACACTAGAAACCTTGCTAAAACGCTTAAAAACAGTGAAAACCCGTCTAAAAACACTAGAAACCTTGCTAAAAAGCCTGAAAACAGTGAACACCGTCTAAAACACTAGAAACCTTGCTAAAACGCTTCAAAGCCGTGAAAAACCGTCTAAAAACACTAGAAACCTTGCTAAAACGCCTAAAAACAGTGGACACCGTCTAAAAACACTAGAAACCTTGCTAAAACACTTCAAAACAGTGAAAAACCAACTAAAACACTAGAAACCTTGCTAAAACGCCTGAAAACACTAGAAACCTTGCTAAAACGCTTCAAAACAGTGAAAAACCGTCTAAAACACTAGAAACCTTGCTAAAACGCCAAAAAAACAGTGAAAACCCGTCTAAAAACACTAGAAACCTTGCTAAAACGCTTAAAACAATGAAAACCCGTCTAAAAACACTAGAAATCTTGCTAAAACGCCTAAAAACAGTGATCACCGTCTAAAACTACTAGAAACCTTGCTAAAACGCTCAAAAGGGAATAATGTGAAATTATTAAATTTTAGGTAATGACGACTGTGAAGATGGAAGCGACGAAATAACATCAAATATGAGCGGATTTATGTGCGAAAATAAATTTAATGACCACAACAAGAAATGTGTTCTACCACAACAATATGTATGTGATAATTTGGATCATTGCGAAAACAGGTACAGATTTTTTTGTAAAAATAAATTATCGAGTTTGTAACAATGATAAATAACATTGTCTGATTCAGTTTGTAAAACTTTCAAGAAATTCTGCAATCATTTACTTGGAAGTAATATATATTTATGTTCTTTTAAAGGGCCGATGAATGTGGATCCGACTGCCGTCATTCGTTCATTTGTGACGATGGCCAATGTATAAATCGAGGGGACTTTTGCGATGGTACGAATCACTGCAGAGATAATAGCGACGAACGGGTAATGCTATAAAAATTGCTGACTTGTTTCGATATGTAATAAGAGAATAATTCCCTGGATTACAGAAAATATGGATAATAAATTCTGATTTATATAAACTATAGACTAAGTATAGAGTATTGAAAATGTTGCCTCGGACAACTCATTCGTTGATTGTCATAGCCTACTGTTTTCGAATAATATATATTATATATATATCACTATTCTGATATTTTACGTTTTCAGATGGGTGAACTTGGTTTTAAATGTGACGTAACTCAAAAGTTTGGTGACGTCATTCGCTCTTGTGTACTTCCGCAAAAGTTGTTGTTCGATGACACATTATATTGCAAAGACCATTCAGATGAGTGTGGAAACAACGGAACGTGCTTCAAGTGAGAACGATTGCTAAATATATCGTGCGTGAAGTTCTTAGACAAAAAGTTTACCATGCACGTCATAAGAATACAATGCTTGCTATGTTAATTGCTATGCGGTTGAAATATTCAATAAAAACACATTTCCTTTTTCTTTGTAAATAATTTACATAGAAGGAAAAATTTTGCACATTATTTATTAGTAACACAACTCAAAAACTTGCTCAAAAGATTGCTCGGAAATGACTTATAAGTTAAAATTATTTACAGATGCTTCAACGACGATTTTTTCATCTCAAAACGTCAAGTATGTGACGGAATATTTGACTGTCCAGATTTGAGTGACGAATGCTTGTGTATGGAGGAGAATGATAATGTCTCAAAAGTATGCAATAGTTACTGCCAGGGACAAGGTAATTCATGTACGCATTCTTGAAACAGTGGTCGATTTTTTAATACATTACCATCTAAATTTAATTACGAGAACTATATTAACATCTGAGTTTCATTCAGTTACCTTCACCAATCTAATTGAATAGCTTGGTCACAATTGCTATATAGAAACAGCTGAAACCCAAATCAAATAATAAATTAGTTTATTTTGAAGACAAAGAGGACACTGTCTCAATACTGCTGCATCAAAAATCAAGTTAAAATTGGTGGTCATTTAGAAGATTTCTTTTGCATGCGGGAAAAATAGCAATGAAAAGTTATCTGATTTAATATAACACTTAGCAGATCATTAATTTGATTCAGATGTATTAATTAATAAATTTTACTCAAAATTTTTTTTATTCTTCATGACATTCAAGACACAGATTCTTGTACACATTGTGAAAATGATCAGATAGTATGTGATGGTGGTGACAATTGCATCAACGTTACATACATATGTGATGGAATATCACATTGCGTGGATGGTACTGACGAAGCTTCGTGTCAAGCGAAAAATGAAGTATGAAATTTTTGATGTTTGTCAATAAGAAAAATTAACGTAAAATTAAGTTAAAATTATGATCCTAATCCAATGTGATTGGTATTTTTATGTTTCAGGAAAATTGGTCACGTCAATCTGCATCTCTTAACTTTAAATGTGAGACAAAGAATCCTCAAGGGTCTCCAGAGTACGCTACAATGTGTGATGGCATTCCACAGTGTGCATTTGCTGAAGATGAATGTTCTATAATCAAGCAACCTGTTATGGTATGACGAATAAAAATAAACTGATCCTATACATTTGAGTTGAAGGAGAAAAGAAAATTCGAGTACTGGATAAGCAATTGTAAAGTTATCTACATAATTTTCTTGTAGGATCAAAATGCTTCAAAAACCGAACGTCAGTTCCTGTGTGGAAACAAAACAATGGAAGTCTGTAAAGCGCTAGATATAAAAGACGATTTCCTCCACTGTCCCGGAAAACCTCATCATTACCTTTCAAAGGATGTAAGTTTACTTTAAATTAGTTTGTTTTCTATGTGTTATAAATATAATTTCAGGTGAGTCTCGTTTTTTTTTTTATCTGTTGTTCATCTGTTTTATTTTCGCTTTTGTTGGTTCCTATAATATTTGAATCTTATGATTACTATGAAGATTTGCGATGGTGTTGAAGACTGTGAAAGAACATCACCAGATAAATTGAGTCCCGATGAACAAGGATGTAAAGATCGCGTCAAGTGCCCAACGAGTCGTCCCAAAGAATCACGAAAATCAACGATCCATATCAGTAGCTTTTGTGACGCAAGAATAGACTGCGAAGGGGAAGAAGATGAAGCAGAAGGTATGAATTTTAAGTAACAAAAAAAACTATCAACTTTACGGAAAGTGCTGTTATATGTGTAACGTTGAATTGGAGATCACAATCTTTAATAATATTGGACTGGAGATGCATTAGATCGAAATTTGGTTTTCGTTTCCTAAAAATTCAAAAAATTTTGTTATGTGTTGCAAAGTATAATAATATTATTTCAATAATATCCAGAACTATGCCAAGGTAAAGGGTTGCGTCGGTTTTACTGCGAGAGCAGAAAACTTGGAGATAACAGCTCAGATCCCGGGCCTCTGTTCGTGACGAGTCAAGAAGTTTTGGATGGGAAACCCGATTGCAAAGATGGAAGTGATGAATGTCCAACAAAACTGTTTCACGATAACATGTTTTCATCTCGGCATAGGATGATTAAAGTGAGCATATGGTCCTATAATTTTTCCGTTTGTATTGTGTGTTTTTGTCTCACTTATTTTCCTTCACTCTCCAACTTATACATACCTCTTGATGCTGCTGTCTTTCCTTATACCCCCAACATATCTATTGCAGAACGTGATTTTGAGTGGTGTTGTGTGGATAATGGGATTATTAGCTTTCTTCGGAAACTCCATTGTGATGTATCACAGCATAACCAAACTACGATCACAGACAAGGTAAACTCAGTTTGAATAAAACAGTGTGCTACATCCCATAATGATAAGCATTATCAAGGAAGCAATGTCCAAATATATGGACACGAAAGCCAAGGTGAAGCAGTATCGAATCGTTCACCGTAGACTACCGGTAGCCCGACCACATATCGCAGAACCGCCACACGGTGCGCAATATATAATTTGATGACGCCTTCACACAAAAATTCAAAATGAAAAACGAACCACAGATTTAATTCATATCTATTACCTAGAATATTTACTTTCACAGATTCTCGCCCATGATGAGGAGCAACTACATTTTAGTTTTTAACTTAGCAACTGCTGATTTATTGATGGGAGTTTACTTACTGGCTTTGGCAATTCAAAACTCGAAAACGAATGGAAAGTAGGTGCCGTTACATTTATTGTTGGCTCGTGTGATATTGATGTATGCAAGGATTACAAACTCACACGAGTCACCTGTATTAACTATTTGAGCTCTACGGTAGATGCGGTAGGTTAGGATCAGTTAATATAGTAGTATCTCATCTTTAGGTATTGTCGATATGACCAGGAATGGCGAACGGGATCTGTTTGTGCGTCACTAGGAAGTCTAGCAATGATCTCGATTCAATCTTCTGTTTGTTTTTTGGTTATTTTAACAACTTATAGAATGATTGCAGTGTTGAGACCTTTCCGTGTTGATTCCCTTCGAGTAAGGTAATCATTTTTTTTCAATCATTTTTCTTATCCTAATGCATAAAGACTGAGAATTGAACTTTGGCTTTAATTATATATATATATATATATATATATCTTCTACCAGGTACACTGTCGTATTCGTCGGCTTGATCTGGTTTTTCTCACTCTTCATTGCGATTGTACCAAGACTTCCTGATTTCAAGAACTATTTCGTTTCTTCTGTTTATATATCTCCCGGTGTTTATTTCTTTGATACAAACACACCAACAAAGATGGAGTTGAGTGACTTTGCAAACGTATTATCAGCATATTCACACGGTGAGCGATAAATGCAAATAAACTAATTTATCTGTTAATTAAATTATATCTTTCTACAAGTAAAACTTATAAAGTGTTGTCGTTAGTCATTGAATTCAAGAGATCGTCATTGCTTTTTGATTCAAAATCGATTGGATACTCTGGCTTTCAAATCACCTGCATAATATTTCTGACCATTTTATTTTATTCAGATTTTGAAAACACTGGCAGTTTATCTTGGCAACAAATTCACCATTCAATAAAAAGTCGATACCCCCAGGATTGGCCCGAATTGCGGATATTGGGAGAGTTCGGTTATTACAGTGGTCACAGCGTTTGCTTACCACAATTGTTTCTCAAGGTAATCTGCTGGAATAAGCTTAACATATATTTTCACAAAAAATAAAATGAATACCTTTAAATCCCACAAGCGGGTGTGCAGTATAAAGGGGTGTTGTGTAAACAATTGTTAAAGTCGAATTATAAATATTTAAATATTTCTGGCTATAAATTTACTTGTAATGATGTATTTTGTTCAGGTGAAGGACAGTGCTTGGTTGTTTTCTATTATCATTATGCTGTTTGACTTCTTGTCTTTCCTGTATATAGTGATGTCTTATAGACTAATTTATAATGATGCATCGCGCCAAGGAGCGTTGAGAGAAAACAGATCAGCTGTTGACGAAAATAAAACATTGCAGGTGAAAACAGTTTTCTTTGCTGTATGTTTTACAATATTTTTGGATACACTTATCGGTTATGCTAACGGTCCATCCTGCAGATTTTGTCGTACCTTATATGAATTCAAAAATATAGAAATGCTATATAATACGTTACAATGACTAAGGAAAAAGTTTGCCAGTTTTAAGCGAAGTTGCTCAGAATTGGGAATCGATATGTAATATCAAATACATCTAAATCCACACTTTGCCTCACATAAATTTTCTTTAACAGAAAAAGCGATTTAATATGAATAGTACCAGATAGAGTGTATATGAACGGGTTTTACATTAATTTATTTTATATTTTGCAGTCTCGTATCACACGACTTGTTTTAGCGGACTTTTTCTGCCTGGTTCCTGTTTGCTTGACATCTTTTCTCAGTGTTCTTGGAGTCGAAATAAATCCGGTAGCTTATGCGATAGCTGCAATCGTACTTCTGCCAATCAACAGCGCGTTAAATCCTATTTTATATTCGAATGTTTTTGGAGTTTTTTACAAGTACGTATGGACAAATAACTTTGCCGATATACCGTATATCAAATTTTATAACTATTTCTCATGCGCACGTTAAGTAAGTATTCAAATATTTAACCATTTTTTTATTTGCTTTATTTAGGGCATACGCACCACTGCCCTTTTGGTGTACTATTTTTCTCTTTTCATGGATTACACATTTATTCTTTAAATTAAAATCATCACTCTTTTCTTTTTTGTTTTTGTTATTTTTGTGTTGGTTTGATTTAATTAACTCAGGGGCCTGTTACAGTTCGTGCGTCACTTCAACAACTGCTTGTCTGGGGAAAATTCTGATGACGAAGCGAAGGAAACCTTTCGGAGGAAATTATCGCAAAGCTATTCAACTAGAGCAACACTGTTTCAGTTACAACCGACACATGACCTCGTCGATTACGACAAATGAAGAATTGGATGAAATGAAAAGCTTGAGACGAGAAAGTAACGATTCGTGGAACACAGCTAATCAATGCAACCTATCTGCAGAAACAACCAGACTTTCTATTTAAGCGTTCAGATTATCAACATGGTTGCTAGTTTTTGGCGGCGCGGTGTACTAGAGGTTGAAGCGTTCTAACTGTGTTGGCATGCAGTTTATTCATCTCGGTTTGAGCCCCATGCCGCCCATCTCACCCAGGGTGTAATAAATTGGGTAGGCAATGCAGAACCGGAAAAAAAATTCCGGTCCTTCCTAATAAACACGAGCCCTTACATATCGTGAGATATTAGTTGTGATTGTACAGGGGAAACAGAGTACTCGTTAAAACTGCAACATTTTATACAAAATATTAGGCCCATACGAAATTCAAAAAATAATAAAGTACCGTAATAGAATTCTAGCGACATTTTCCATCTTAAGTAGAACAAGGATATGCAGAGTCAAAATTTAAACCCCGCAAATTATTTCCCTCGAAACATAAATATGTCAAAACTACATTGACCGGATTGGAAAGTATGAAGGATAATCTTTGTTGAATTTTCAAAACACGCAAATAAATCAAAGGTATCGATTTGATTTCAATTTTGGCACCTAGAATTTAAGTAAATATGCTAAATCAATTTTTTTTGTTCTAGCACAATCAACTTGTAATGGCTCTAACTTTTTCTAAAATTGACCCGTACTACTTCGTTAGATAATGACAATATTCAATTCGCTCTTTACTACTTTGGGACACTCCATTTTTAAAGTAACAAAATCAGTAATTTTGTTTTTGCGATTGTTGTATTTATCTCTTTTCTTAATTTTTCTCTTCATGACAATTTTATTAAAGTTATCAAAAATTTCTATACATCTATAATATTTTCAAATTTTTAATATCTAAAAATATAAATTATAACATGCTGTCCCGTTTTTTTTCGTTTCTTTTGTAACTTTAATAAAGTGCAGTATGATGTCATTGAAAATAATATTGAACAATATGTCTGTTGATATAGTGTTTTGTATTGTTTCAGACACTCAATTTTGAGATAGTTCACGCATGGAGTTTCCATCTATAAATTGATTTCAACTATTTCGAATGCTTATATGTTATATTTTTCTTATTTCAAATTAAATATTGAAAATAGAATGTCCCGAATATTGTGATTAAATCATTATAACAATTGTTCGAAAACAACGAATATTTTGATAAGAGTTCCCAGAACATGCACGACATACATATTTTTCTGCCTAGTGACCTTGTATCATTAAAATGTTCAATATTATTTTATGATTGACTGCTAATGACTCAAAAATATTGTTTAATTGTAATTTCATCACCAATCATTTCGTCCTCAATGTTATCATTAGATTATTATTCATTTAAATATTTATGTAACGTGTTCTCCCATTCTTTTTTACATGTGCAATAAAGTAACTTTATACAAACATAGTGATAAATTTTCTACAATCTACATTTGAAATGGGCAAACTATGGCCCGCGGGCCAAATCCGGCTCGTTGGGTAAATCAATCTGGCCAGCCTGATGCTGCCACAACCAAAGTAAAACCAAATTTTCATGTTTGAACGAAAAAATAGCCAAAGGAATTTGTTGAGATCACGATTAAATTTTTGTTTTGGCACGAGTCTTATTGTTTTCCACTTTTTCGTTTGTAGCATTGCAACATTTGATAGCATTATTTATGTGCGTGCCATTGAGTTTCTTACAACAGTTTTAAAATGCTTGTCTGAAGAAGTCTGACCTCGGTCAGACGAAACGTTACAGAATTACATTTGTGTTAGTGTGCAGCAAGACTCTTGTTAGATTTGACCTCGCACGCCTCACACTTTTAGCCATTCATATATTTCTCTATTATTTTAACAATCCCAGGCAAATTATGTTCTATCTTCATTATCTTATTTCCTGTTGATAGTGACTTATTATTGCGCCACAGTGAAGACTTGTGAAGGAAGTGAAACTTTTCCCCCGGATTTTGAGGTAACGTGCTTTTGATTCGTTATTCCAGTGGTCGGCAACCTTTTTTTGGGTGACGGACCGGTAAAGCCTGACAAAAATTTTGGCGGACCACCTATACAAAACTGAACTAAGCTTATGTAATGAATTACACGCGATAGAAAATTTACATTGACAATATATTGAAAAACATAGGCGTTGCTATTCAATGCGAGATCTGCATTTGTTTGCTAGCCATGAACTGTTTCCAATTTGGATATGGACGACAGTGACACACGTAACGTGTTTCTTACATCCAGTCTACTTCGATATTTCGTTTTTGTAGTTGTCAATATTGAAAATCCGGCCTCACATAAATACGATGTCGGAAAAGGTAGCAATTCCTGTAAAGCTTCTGTAGCTACGTCTGGGTATTTATTTAAGAGTTTTGACCAAAAGACTGGCAAAGTAGATATCGCAAAGACGCTTTTCAACTGATTATCATTTGAAATTTCAATCAACTGCTCTATAGAAGAAACTTTTATCGTCGTTTCGTTAGGTTTATTTACAAATGGATTTCGTATCCATTCTTTTAAAATTCTTGGGTCGTTTGCGCTAGGAAAGTAGCGTTCAAACGCTTTTGAAAGCATATCAAAGTGGTTACTCACGATAATACTAACGGTCTCATGCGGTGCGGAATCTCCCAATTGTTCTGTAAGTGTATGAAACATGTCAAATATCCCCATATCAACCCGCCTTTTCCAAAAATTCAATTTGTCTTTGAAAGCAGAAACTTTATCTGCTAACACAAAGACTGTAGTCATTTTACCTTGAAGTGACAGATTAAGATCGTTAAGCAAGCTAAATATGTCGCACAAGTATGCTAGTTTTTGCAGCCACTGTTTATCATTGAACTGTTCAGCAAACTGAGACCGTTTCTCCATTAAAAATGTTCTTAACGGCAGACGTAGTTCAAAGACACGGTTTAACGATTTTCCTCTGGATAACCACCTAATTTCTGTGTGCAGCAAAAGGTTTCTATGTTCTGCTTCCATATCTTCGCAAAGCTGTGCAAACAATCGGGAGTTCAAAGAATGTGCCCTGATGAAATTAATAACTTTAACGACATGATTCATTACTTCGTTAAGTTCAGGTGACATCTTTTTGCTGGCCAACATTTCTCTGTGAATAACACAATGCGTTGAATTGCAGTTAGGTGCGACCTCTTTGATACGAGTTACCAATCCAGACAACCTCCCAATCATAGCTGCAGCCCCATCTGTGCATACTCCGACACAATTATTCCAATTTAATTTTCCCGAAATGTAATCATTCAGAGATTTGAATAATTCAGCTGCTGTAGTTTTGGTCGGCAATAATAAAAGGCATAACATATCCTCGTGTATATCTTCCTGGTAAAGATATCTCACGTAAACAAGAAAATTTGTATTATCGCTGATATCAATCGACTCATCACATTGAAGAGCAAACCATGGGGACTTATTAATGCGTTCTATCAATTCAGATTCAATGTACTCGGCTATATCTTCGACACGTCTGCTAACAGTGCGGGCTGATAAGGGAACTTGTGCAATTTTCTTTGCTGCAGCCTCACTAACAACTTCGCGGCAAATATCTTTACAGGTGGGCAAAATAAGTTGTTCTCCGATTGTAAATGGTTTGTTCGATTTTGCTATTCGACTGGCCACGAGATATGATGCCATAAGAACATCAGAACTGGACGTCGAGCTGACCCTCATTAACTTTATTTCTTTCTCATAATCTTGTTTCCGTCTCTGAAAAAACTCCAGTGGTTTATCTTTAAATCTACGTGCTTGACTCCAAATGTCGAAGAAGTTTCGAAGGCTTCATCGCCTCATTTGAGAGCTTAGTATGACAAAGGACGCAAACTGGACTAATTTCGTTGTTGTCATCTACCGCTATAAATCCATATTGCAAATACAATTCACTGTACTTGCGCTTGAAGGACTTTTTTTTCTTGGCGGATGATGTTCCCGGTATATCTACACTCTCAGTTTCGTTAGATATTGGGCCACAGTCATTCAAGAATTGCGTTATGGACGTTTGTTTAGCCATAATCAATTTTATTACAAGTGCTAACTTTATGTGTGCTAACTAGTTACGACCGGTTAGCTGCGAGCCAGTAGTCACGTTGTTTGAGAGATCTTACCTGGACTGAAGTAAGATGTTCAGACGCAATTGACGCAGCATTATTGCGACATACTGACATGGTAATTATTTGTGAAGTCAGAAATGCTATTCAGATGCGTTGTGTTTGTCTGGTTTTCTGTTTGGTGCTGTTTATTAGTCAGAAGGTTCTAGCTAGAATCTAGAATCTAGATTGTGGAGGTATTATTACGACCTTGTCTGTTTTTGTGTCACCTTGCCGCGGACCGGTCGTAACCTTTACGCGGACCGGCGATGGGCCGCGGCCCGGTGGTTGCCGACCTCGGCTTTATTCTATACGGCACTGTGGGATTGCGAAAGTGTCGTTTAATATTGAGATTTGCCTTGGATTTAGGGGTGCGCGTTTTGTGAAATCTGGCTTATTAATTTGGCATAGTTAGGTCCTATTTAGTATTGGCTATTATTGCTTGGTGTTGTGAATGGTATTTTTTCATTCTTTCATTGCTTATTTATAGTGTATCCGTTTCGTTATAAATAAGTTTCATCGTTGGTCTCCAAGTTTCTGTGCTATAGCAACATTTTACTCATATGTGGAGATTGATGGATACAGTTCGTTTTCTAAAGATCTCGTGTGCCTCTTTACTTTGGCTGTGCAGTTACTAGAAGCTGGGAGATTGCGCATAATTCTTTAAGGCAGGTGCGGGTGCAAATAGGACTCCACTACAACAACGTTGAGGGAATATGAATTCACGTTCCAACTTTACATTGAAATAAAACTTATATTCGATTAACCTACATTGAAGAACACATTTGACTTTTTGCAACAATGGCTTCAAATGTTCCAATTGATGAATCATCTGATGACATCGACATTTCTACAGTTCAAGCTCGACAATTTTCATTGGTTCAAACAAAAAGGATGATCATCTTTGTCAAGCAAATGACCATTAATGGACAAACTTTTACTAATTTGAACAACATTTTTGCACAACATATTCTGGATAAGCAAATTCAACAAAAGGTTACTCTACATTACCAGAAAGTATGAGAGTAGACAGTATGCGATCATCTGAACAGTTGAAAAATTTATTTGTAGAATTATATTACGAATAATGGAATTTATCAACATATGGCAAAATTACACCTTACTCAGACTGTGGATAAATTGAAATCATGTGACATTGTTTATTTCCAATATTTGGACGCATGTGTTAAAAAGGCCGACATTAGCTACATAGCTAAACGGTCAATGTCTCAGTCGTTGAAATCTAAATCATCTTCATCATCTTATAGAAGACTGGCGAAATCAAGAATGTTAAAACTTTAAGCAATACATAAAAAAAACTAGCAGTACAAGAAGGATAACTAGCAGCGCAAACGCAAAGATTATCAGAGATCAAAGCACAGTTTAAAGAACAGCAAGCTCAACTACCTAATGAACTGTCAGGTGACAGAGACTCTTCTACTTCCAAGTCAATTTTCGATTGTAACACCGTCATCTCAGTACAGGTGGCAATTTTTGACACTCAACTGCAGAGTCAGAGACCTAGTTCAGTTTCACTTTTGTCTAACAATAATTTGGAAAATACAGGTATAAGTTCTTACTTGAATTCGTCTTTTAATGTTTTACAACCATCATGTTGCCCTACGTCTGCTGTTCATGCAGTTCAGTCTTCAACCCCATGCAGTGTTGCAGATTATAACCAATTTTTTAATGCAAATATTTAACAGTTGCCATACAATGCACCTAATTTTGTTGACAATAATTTTTCTGCTTTTATACCTACTACTGTGATTAGCACAGCTGCTATTACTGCCCCTGATATGTCTATGGGCCGGTGTATTCACAACCTACTATTTCTGTCCCACAGCAGCTTATTGCGCCAGCTGATACTATGTCTTTTGATTGCAATCAGACGTATTTTCTCATGTTAATTTAACTATGCCTGTCGTATCGCAGGCCCATACTGGTTCTTATTTATCACCATTTTGTAGTAGTTTTCCACAGACTGGGCCAAATACTTTTACTACTGTTAGTAGTTTGCCTCCAGGCCATGTTTATACAAACTCATCTCAGCAGATAACATCAGTGTTACCTCCCTTAACAAGACCTGTAGGACCATACTTTCCTCATCCTACCATTTCAAATGCCTTGTGCACAAATACTGCCACAATTCCATCTTTCATACCTCCTTATATGTCAAGCTCACAATTACCTCACCTACCGTTATGAGACAACCTTCCTTACCTTCCCCTAACGTTATCCATCATCAGGCTGCCAGTAAAGATGATTTGTACCTTCTGGGAAGAAATATTTAACAAGAATTCGGTTGCCAG